AACCGGGACTAGAGGATGAACTTTAGTCCCGAGTTAAGCCACCAACCGGGACTAAAGGTCCCCTCCTGCAAAAGCCGTTGGCTCTAGCCGTTGGACAGAGGACTTTAGTCTCCAACCAGGACTAATCCTATCTTTAGTCCCCGGCCAAAAAATAACCAGGACTAAAGCCTCAAACCAAAAATCTGTTCTCTACTGGTGCAGTGTGCTAATCTCCTAGCACATACGTATGGAAGGACAATGGTTTGGCTTATCCGGTTGCAAACATGTCCAAGGGATTGGCCTCTAACGGTTGAATGTGTCAAATTTGCATATCGTCTTTTTCCTTTCAGACTTGGTATTTCCCTTTCTCGGCCTTTTTAAATGCATGAGACTGCTCATTCCCTCTTACTCCTTGAGCTAGTACCACCACGAGGAGATGACCAGCGTATCAACGGAATGACCCGTGCCGAGGCAAGGAAAGCCTTTTATATCTCATTAAGAGAGACTCTTTTCACGGGCCCACTATAGAGTTTCATCCGCGATGGTTACTCCCCGTCTCTGTTCCGAAGACCCACCCGGCCAGTTCTTAATACATGGATGCTCCTACTCTCTCCTCCCCCTATTGTACTCATACAACACAGGCGACAGGCGTCAAGTATGGATAGGGAGTGAAGGTGGGCGTACACCCTAGTTAGTAGAGGAGGGGGGCATATGTCCCCTCTAGTTAGTATAACTTCCGCTGGAAAAACAGCTTGCCTCTTTGATCTTGCCAACGAATCTTCTCATCCTGACAAAACAGTTTGCCAAGTAATCTTTTGTTCATCCTGACAAAACTACCAAACAACCTTTCCTGCCATAGCTAACCTTGCCTAGCCAGGCATTTTTCCCATCCAAGCAAGGCAAGATGGCAGTGAACTAAGCAAACCCTTAATTAATGTAACATTGCTTTGAATGAAAATATCAAAAACTCAAAACAATTGTAGATCTTGTCGAGCTCTACAATTTTCATATAAATTTATGGAAACTTCTTATTAATTTAAGATACATTGTCTGACAAAGAAAGAGATCTAATTAAATTGACAAATTAAAATATCATCATTTCAAAATAGATTAATGCAAGTTCTTCACATGGACTCTAATTCAAAATAGAATTCATGATCAATGATCTAATGGTCAACAATCTAGCTTATAGAGGATGGCCAAATCAAGATTCATGTATTGTTAAATGAAAAGTTTATCCACTAATACACCATAACTTTTTCCATATATCTTTATATGATGATAAAATTATATGAAAATTATAGTATTTAATGAGATCTAGAACTTTACAAATTGCAACTTTTTTGTATGAAGCTATCTTACTGCTGAAATAATAGTTAAATACATGAGTGAACTCTAAGCTTGTTAAATAGTGTCACTTAGGTTCACGAACTTTGAATAGATATTTATAGGTCCCTAAACTTGTTAAGCGATACACTACATTGGTTGGTATGTTTCAGAGATAGACCTATGATGTACCATTTTACAAGTTCAGGGCTATGCAGTACACTACTTAACAAGTTTAGAGACCTAGAAATGAGTTTTCAAAGTTTGTGGACATAAGTGGCACCCCTTGACAAGTTTAGGGGCTGCTAATGCATTTGACTCATAAAGTAATCAACATAATGTTTAGATCTAAACGTCAGCACCAAATTGGCTTTAAAAAAAGAAAAAACATTGGAAACTTTGGGGACTATAAAGTTGTAGATCCCATCAAGTTCAACAATTTTCATAAACTTTTATCACCATCCGTACTCATATGATACTTTATGAAATTTTCAAGATTTTTTGCATTGGAGAGAAAAAAATATGCCAATTGAATTGACAACAAGGGATATTCTGACATTCCATCAATTGGATGAGCAAAATTTAATCTTAACATTTTATTTGGCTATGGCTTTGTACTTTTTTTCAATTAGATCAACTATTTTTACAAAACAAAACAAAATATATAAATAAATAAATAAAACATTTGTGGCAGAGTTTGTAGTCATGGGCCGAGTATTGCGTAACACATAAGGATAAAAGGGCCACAGGCCCATATTAACACTGCGTTTTCCTTTCCCTTTGCTTTGCCCATTAGCAGCAATTAGCACGTTGAGCCCATGGGCGGGCGAGGTTGAAAACGTGCTCGTGACTTCGTGATGCTTGAGGCTTTGAGCACAGGGCACCGTGGCATTTGCGACCATGTCTGCCAGCGTCCGGCTAACGCTCCGGGCTGCCGGAGAGATGAAAGGAAAGGAAAGCAGGTAGAACGAAGTAGAGACAGGCAGGAAGCAGAGGAAGAACGAAAAGGGAAAGAAGCAACGCCAGCAGGTATAATTAGGTGGACGTCCTCCTATATATGGCACCGTTTGACATTTTATAATCGGAAAAAAGTCAATTCTCTATTTACATTGAGAGCTAGGAGATAAAAAAAAAATCCACTCATCAATAATGCCAATATGCTCCATATTCAATCTCTCATCAAAATCATTTTAGAATCACTCCCCACATATTCTGCATATACAATTTCCTCGCTAGAATGGTCCATCAGAGAATCAGAAGTGGATCTAAGAACTAAAAGGTGGAATTTTACCAAACAGACTATATATATACACATTAATCCCTCTTAGCCGTTCCAATTTGTAAGACGTTTGAACTTTTTTACATACAAAATTTTTACTATGTACTTAGATTTTCTTTTTAGATAATATTGAACTATGTACTTAGATATACTATATATATAGTAAAAACAATGTATAATCGTCTTATAATTTAGAATGGATGGAGTGTGTAGAGTGCGAGTTTATTGTAGTAGAGGAAAGAATAATGGGATGCTAATTGCATTGCATGGCGTCCTAGAGTAGTTTAGTGGCGTGCCATATGGCAGCCCGCAGAGGATACACACGTCGCCGCCGCATCGGATTCGAAGGAGACGTACGGACGGTGCTCTCGGCCTGCCCATTCGGTGCCGATTATTTAGCATCAATTCTGGAAACTTGTGTTAATAAAGAAAAAGACGAGGGATAACGATAACGATAGGCACAGGCTTTTGGACCAAATTACAACTAAATATGGTAAACATTAGTATTAGCACAATACACCCTCCTATACGCAACATGTTACCCTCTCAGCAGCAAGACAGTGCCTTAATGGATGATTGTGTACAAAACTCTTTTTTTGCGAGAAAAAAAGAGAAACTTTATTAGCTAGTCACAGGAGGATTACAATCGGCATTAAGAAAAGTCCAACCACAGGCAGGCACTTGTCTACCCTGGCCGCAGGATGATTACAACGTCTAGCTATAATAATGCTAAACCATTTGCAACTTGATTGCAGTCTTCACTTGGGAACACTTCCAATCACTCATCAGCTGAGTCAAGCATCTTGCTTCCTCTATGACTAGGCCAATCTCTGATCTATCCACCGATTGACTTCTCAGGGAACTAATATTCTTGCGCGGATATAGACCTTCGCGCATGCGAAGGCCTCTGCCTATGTACAAAACTCATGTAGGTTGCAATAAAAGTTTTTTTATATAAAAATAATACAGTTCTAGTCTAGCTGTAAAATAGATTTTCCTTTGCACTCCTTGACAATTAAAATAGATTTTCCTTTCGGCAAGCCTTGACACGCCATAGTTGAATTGCCGCTAACCTTGGATTTCTATATACAATAGGCATTCAAACAAATTGTGGCTCGGAAATTTTTGGATCTTGCTGTTATTATATTCCCTCTATTTCTTTTCTACTCGTTGAGTATGAGCATGGTCTCATTAATTAGTGTAACTACAATCAATTGGAAGGTTTTTCATGGAAAAAACTACTAATATCATTTTCATGGGATAAACCTTAAAAATTGTATGTTATGTTGATTAAATTTCTAGAATCAGACTATTCGCATCTGCACTTAATAATATTTGAGAAACAAATAAAGAAAACAACCATTGATCGAGCATTCCTTTGTGTGCTGACAAAGACGAAATATTTTGCATTGAAGATTACTATAGGCCCTTTTTGGTTCTCAGGAATTGAAAACTAACCTAATAATGAAATGGGAAGCACTTTCTAGATATTGGTTTCAATTCATGGGATCCAAAAACAGGCCTTTATTTTTTTGGGTAGACTAATTTGATCCATTCCCATCTGAAAATTAATTTAGTATTTAAACCCACAATAGCTACTGTATATATGATCATCCCAATACAGCCTCTTGAGCTTACCAAAACTTAATTTGGCACTAGCAACTATATGTCTCATCATAGGAAAAAAAAACATAACAAAATGGCTTATTTAATCGCAGTACATTCACGTGCCAATCGTGCAAAATGCTCCTACAGTCCTACGCCAAACTACTACACATACTCACAGCTTGCATATACACAGTTGCACTGTTCCATGATAAAATATTCTCCCCAACCAAAAAAATACATGCTGGCATTATTATTATTATTATTATATATATATATATATATATATATATATATATATATATATATATATATATATATATAGACACACACACACACACATAGAATGCTCCCAATCCAAGAACCGAGACGAGCAACATTCGGGTGGTTCGGCCGATCAACTTTTGGAGATGGAATTCAGGGAGCTAGCTAGCTAGGCTCGTGGTGCAGCCGAACTCGAGCTCGACGACGGCCATGGACAGCACCGCATTCTTGGCTGAAATACCCCAAGCAGCAGGAACATTGGAGATTTGGAGACGAAAGACTCCCGCTGCCTGCCTGCACGCCAGCTTCCCTTCCTTCCCGCCGTTTCGGCGTTTTCAAATCGCAAGCAACTTCTCCCAGCCAAGTGTTTCCCAGTTCCCGCCAGCTTTATATATAGCACGTACCACAAGCTGATCAGTCAGCAAGCTCGATCAGAGGCTACGTGTGCAGCGCAGCTGGTTCCGTCTAGACGTACACTCTGTCACTCACACACATGGCTGCGGCGGCGTCTATCTCTGGATCCCGCACCAGCTACCCTAGCGTCCCAATGGCCCACAGCGGCCGGCGGCGCACCAGCGGCTGCACCGTCATCAGGAGCTCCTTCGCGCCCTGCTCGCCGGCGTGCAAGCCCACGACGCTGCGGATCGGCAGCAAGTGGGCGGAGCTCCAGGGCGCGCGGGACTGGGACGGCCTGCTGAGCCCGCTGGACGGCGCGCTCCGGGGCGAGCTGGTCCGGTACGGGGAGTTCGTGCGCGCGGCGTACGCCAGCTTCGACTTCGACGGCGGCGCGCCGTCCTACGGCTCGTGCCGGTTCCCGAGCCGCTCCCTGCTGCGCCGCGCGGGGATGCCGGGGAGGCGGGGACCGGGTACCGGGTCACGCGCCTCCTCCACGCCGCGTCCACATCGGCGCCCCGGTGGCTGCCGTCGCTGTCGCCGCCGTGCGGATCTAGCTACATCGGCTTCGTCGCGGTGTGCGACGACGAGCGCGAGATCGAGCGGCTCGGCCGCCGCGACGTCGTCGTCGCGTTCCGCGGCACCGCCACGTGCGGCGAGTGGGTGGACAACTTCAAGTCCGGCCTGACAAGGCTCCCGATCCCGACCGGCGAAGAGAATGGAGAGGAGGAGGCGATGGTGGAGAGCGGGTTCTGGAGGCTCTTCACGGCGCCAGGCGAGGCGCACAGCAGCCTGCAGCAGCAGGTGCGCGACGAGGCGCGGCGGATCGCCCACGAGTACGGCGGCAGCGGCATGCCGCTGCTGAGCATCACGGTGACGGGGCACAGCCTCGGCGCCGCGCTCGCGGTGCTCACCGCCCACGAGATCGCGACGACGCAGCAGCAGCGACAGGAAGAGGAACACAGCGGCGCCGAAGAGCCGGAGATGATGGTGGCGGCCGTGTCGTTCGGCGGGCCGCGCGTGGGCAACGCGGCATTCCGGCGCAGGCTGGAGGAGAGCGGCGGCAAGGTGCTCCGCGTGGTGAACTCGGACGACATCGTGACCAAGGTGCCGGGGTTCCCGGTGCACGAGAACGACGACGGCAACCAGCCGGCGAAGGGGATGATGAAGGCGAGGGTGCCGAGGTGGCTCGTCTCCAAGATGGGGTGGGCGTACGCCGACGTGGGGCGCGAGCTGCGGCTGAGCCAGGCCGCCGGCTCGGCGTCCAACGTGGTGGCCTCGCATGACCTCGACTTGTACCTCAAGCTCGTCGCTTCTTGCACAGACTAGATAGGAAAATGACCTACGTAGACAAGTAGCGCTGCACTGTACTAGTCTAACAGTACTGTTAGAGAATGTGCTAATAATCTAGTGTGATTAGTTTGTGGACACAATGTTTGCTTGCTGTTACGTGAGGTGGTTGTTCAAGAGCAAAGCGATTAGAAGACACGTGTCACTCTGCTGCATGGGCATGGCCTACAAAACTGACCAGGGTCCAAAGCTGGCCTACCATCTTGTATGTTCATGCACAAATCACTTACGTTTCCTGCTCCGCAGATTGACGGCAAGGGTTGACAAAATACACGCGGCTCGTCAACTCGTTTGACTCGTGGCCTGCTCAGCTTGGTCCGACTCAGCTCGTTTTAACTTTTTCACGAGTTGAGCTGGAAGTCTAGCTCGCTATTTTAACGAGCCAGCTCTAGCCAGCTCGCGAGCTGAAACGAGTTGAGGCCTATCAGCCCAGGACCATGAATCCAGAAGATGATGATGTTGAACTATAAGTGTACACCTATTCTATTGATATGTAATCCTTATTTTCAGCTGTTTCATATGAATTTTAATTTTATAATTGTTGTGGTACTTAAATGTTGATTTTATGAATTGTTTTCTAGGGAGAAGATGATGATGCTAACATTAAATCTGTGGACTTTCCTAAGTTTGTGGTGGAAGGCAACGAGTTATTATGCTGAAACTGCATGATCATGGATGGATCAGCTATGTTACATGGTTGATACTTTTGATGAACCTGATATGTATTAATCATGTATGGTTGCATAACGGTGGACGTCACCTTCTAGAATTAATGTAGCATAAACATTATAAATATGTGTGTCCTATTTTTTTAGTAGCTCGCGAGCTAAATGAGCCAGCTCGAGCTCGGTAACGAACCGAGCCGAGCCGAGCCGAGCCGAGCTGCCCCTCTAGCTCGTAATATTAACGAGCCGAGCCGAGCTGACTCGTTAGACTAACGAGCTAGCTCGAGCTGGACCGAGCCGAGCTGAGCTGGCTCGATATCCAGCCCTATTGACGGCTTCGTCTATCTCCGTTCATTTGGCTGGACCCGGCCGTACAATATAAAACACTTGCAACATGAAAAATATTTGAATATAATATATGTCTAAAAGTAGATAAAATATTTAGAACACGCACTTGCAACATGTGTGTGAAACACACGAAACATCCAGATTTACAACTTGCAACATAAAACCACTCATTTGAAATATACTGTTGCAACATATGTGTGAAAACATATGCAACATCCAGATAAAAAAGATTGCAACAAACGTCTGAAAATAGATGAAATATTTTGAACAAATGCTTGCAATATGCCTCTGAACCACTTGCAACATATGCAACATCCCCCGATCTACTTTTGCAATATCAAGATGAAATAGTTGCAACATATATCTGAAACGTCGGAAACACTTGAAACATATATATGAAACATAGGGGAGGGAAGGCCGGGCCAGTCGATTCCGGCCGTCAAGGTGGGGGCGGTGACGAGCTGGGGCACGCGAGCACCACCAGTACCGGCAACGCTCGTGGGTGCCCTTGCTCGGCCGGGGAAGACCTGAGGCGCCATGGCACATGTGCCCCAGCGGCCACGGTGGGGTCTGTGGTGCGGCCAACGGCGATGGGCGACAGACGAACGGCGAGGGAGCGAGCGACGGAAGTGACTGCCATGCTGGTGAGCGGCAAAGGGAGCAAGGGCGCACGGCGCTACCAGCAATGGGGAAAGGGCACGGCGCAGCAGCCCGACGAGCGCGCGCTGGGGAAGGCGGCGGACGGATGAGCAGCCATGCCGAGTGACGCAGGTGAGTGGCGCAGGGAGCGAGGGCGTGTGGCGGAGCCGGCGATGGGGAATGGAAATGGTGCGGCAGTCCGACGAGCACACGCTGGAGAAGGGGGCGGACGGATGAGCAGCCACGCTGCTTTGAGGCAGAGCGGATAAGCATGAAGTTGTGGGGTGTGGGCTCGGGAGGGACAGGCGAATAAGCACAAGGGAATGGTGATTTGTTTTTTTTGTTTGGGGGCCGCTCCTGAGGAGCCGTGTCCGGACGCAAAGTCACAGAGGGACGCTCTGTAGGAAATATTTCTGTATTCATAACAATTCTCTTGTCTTAATCTCCTTTGAATTTTATTCCTATGTTTTTTAACCTATCGCTTTGAATTTGTTCTATCTTTTTATTTCATAGTTTAAAGGAAGAAGGAAGGAAAGATTGCGTGCAAACTTTTCTTAAGTCAACTTTAAACTCTGAAATGTATAAGGTGCAACAGAAGTGGTGGCAATTAACAGAGTTGTTTTGACTTCTGGTAATTAACTGAAAGCCCTGAAACCCAATGGTCGAGAAACCTCTGCTGTTCAACCCTCGGCGCATTACGGATTTCTTCAGCACATTTAGGCTGTGTTTAGTTGGAGGGAAAGTTGGAATTTGGGTACTGTAGCACTTTCGTTTTTATTTGACAAATAGTGTTCAATCCTGGACTAATTAGGCTCAAAACGTTCGTCTCGCAATTTTCCATCAAACTGTGTAATTAGTTTTTTTTCATCTACATTTAATGCTCCATGCATGTATCGCAAGATTCGATGTGATGGATATTGTAGCATTTTTTTGGAACTTCTTTTGGAACTAAACAAGCGCTTACTACAAAAATCCATGATCCTGTTCCTCTGCAAAGCGTCGCCAATCTCCCATGCCGACCTGCCACAGTCAGTGCCATTCTGTATGATCCCATCACATACCCAATAGTTGGACGCATGGGACTCCCAACTGATGTTGACATTGTGTCTCAGTGCCATATACAAGATGCATTGAATGACAATCTTTGGGCTCATGTCAGGTTCAGGGACACCTGTGCAGTTAGCAACCTCCTCGGCCTCTGCATATAGAGCGTGCCTAAGGATTTGAAGTCTTGCAAATGTATCTTCCTCAAAAATTAGTGATGACATAACAGATATACAGCCTGTTCGCTTGCTCGTGATCATGGATTATAAGCTGAAATAATATTTTTCTCTCACACCAAACCAGTCAACAGTAAATAATCCACGATCGTTTACGACGAAACGAACAGGCTGATAGTTGCATCGCTCCATTTAGCTGACTCCACATCATGCAACCACCAAGACGTTCCATGCCCATCTTTGGCATGATGCCCGAACCTGCCTCGAGATGTAGACAACACCCTCCTGCTCAATTGGCCGATTACACGCCTCCCACGGATCGATGTAGCTGCCACTCCCATTGTGCAAAACCACAAGGAATCTGCGAGTCATAAGTTCATTCATGATCTCTGCTTTAACGTAAGGAATCACGTACAGCTCTATCTCTCTGCTCCACCCCATCAAAATCCTCCTCCTCAACATGCTGGTGAAAGAGTGACATCACCTGCGGGGGTAGCTCAAGCTCCTCTGCAATCACCTTCTGTAGGGCTCTCTTGCTTTGCCACTGTGAGACATCAACGTGGATGATCTTTCCCAAGTCCCTTGCTGTCCCAGTGTCAGCCAATCCAGATGATGATCTTAGTTGTTTGACGACTGCTTTGAGTACAGCATGTTAGTCACTGAATTCTTACTCTTGGTAGTAGCAGAATTTTTACTCTCATTGAGAGAGGATGACACTAGAAGTTAGGGTAATTTTCTGGTTTATTTCTCACACAAATATCATGCCAACCAGAGGGGTTGGGGATACATATTTATAGGCTACTAACCAGTCAAGCATATGTCAAGATGCTAGTCCTAGATGCTAGTCCTAGATGTTGTCCTAGATGCTGTCCTATATGCTAGTCCTAGATGCTAAGATACTGTCCTCCTAAATGCTAAGATGTTGTCCTAGCCAGTCAAGGATGCTGTCCTTGATGGGCAGCAAGACCACCACCATGCATCCACAAGGACCATATGTTGTAGTCCCACAAAGACCAGCCAACATAGAGACTTATCCATCATTCTCCCCCTAAGTCTTGTGCATCGTCTTGTGGGAAAGTTGAACCATCCCGGTCCTGGAGCAGAGCTCAAGGAACTTGATCCTCCCAAGAGGCTTGGTAAGCAGGTCCACAAGCTGGTCCTAGGTGTTGATGTAGGTTGCCTTGATGCTTCCTTTCTCCAAACAGCCTCGGATGAAGTGGTACCTCACCCGGATGTGCTTACTCTGTTCATGGAAAACGGAGTTCTTTGCCAGGGCCAGAGCGGACTTACTGTCCATCCTGAGCTCCACCGCTCTAGTGTCTCTGCCGAGGAGATCGCCAAGCAGTCGAGCGAGCCAGAGCGCCTGAGTCGAAGCAGTGGAGGCCGCTATGTACTCGGCCTCGTAGCTGAACAGGGCCACCACCTGCTGCTTGACCAACTGTCAGCTAACGAGGCACTTGCCGAGGAGGAAAAGGATCCCGCTCGTACTCTTGCTGGTGTCGATGTCACCGGCGTGGTCGCTGTCGTTGTACCCGACGAAGTGTGCCGCCCTAGGGCACTTAGGGTAGTAGAGGCCGTGGTCGAGAGTCCCCGCAACGTAGCAGATGATCCTCTTCACAGCATGCTGGTGCTCCATCGTCGGTCGTTGCATGAACCGACTAACGTAACCGACGGAGAATGCCAAGTTCGGCCGTGTGTGGGCGAGGTAGCGAAGGCTCCCCACAAGACGTCGGTACTGCGTAGCGTCCACCTCCTCTGTCGTGTTGTTGCGGCTCAGCTTCAGCCTCTCCTCCATCGGAGTAAGAGCTGGGTTGCAGTCGGTGAGCCCAGCTAGCTCAACGACGCGCTTGGCGTAGGCGGTCTGTCGAAGCGTGATCCCGGAGTCGTCCTGGTGCACCTCGATTCCCAGGTAGAATGAGAGAGGCCCCAGGTCACTCATCTGGAAGGTGGCCTTCATCTCTTCCTTGAATGCCGCCACCTCCGCATCCTTGGTGCCGGTGATCACCAAGTCCTCGACGTAGACACCCACCAGCAGAGCATTTCCTCCACTGCCCCGTCGGTAGGTGGCCGCCTCATGCGGGCTTTGCTCGAAGCCCATCCCTTTTAG